TTCGAGGGGCAGCTAACAATAAATTCGCACGACCTGATATGGACTCCGGCAGCGGCGCAAGAACCCAGCTCTCGATCGCAGGACCGTCTCGCATTGCTACCGACTGAAATGCGCAAATAACCGCAGTGCTGGGCACGATTTATGTTTCGTCGACTGGGCATCGCATTCTCGGCGAGGCGCAATGTTGCGACAATGGCGACACCTACCAGTATCCCAACCGAGCCCTTACTGGTGATCCTTGGTTCAACAGGAACCGGGAAGTCAGAGGTAGGAGCAGATGGATGGAGCTCCCGGTATCTTGTGTGGGATTGAATATACAGCCGCTGACACCCGAATACAGTTAGCTGTTGAGCTGGCCACCAGATTTCGCGGGGAGATTATCAACGCCGACGCCATGCAACTTTACAATGGGCTTCCCATTATCACCAACAAGATCACCGTCCCCGAACAAAAGGGCATTCCTCACCATCTCCTCGGTAATATTTCTCTTCACGAAATGCCCTGGGATGTCGACGATTATACACGACAGGCGAAAAAGACGATTCAAGAGATTCGCAGCAGAGGGAACCTACCAATCGTTGTCGGAGGCACACAATACTATGTCGACCCTCTCATCTTCAAGGAAGTCACCCTGGGCGACCTATACTCAAACGAGACGGCGACGTTCCCGATTTTAGACGAGCCGACGGAAGTGATTCTGGCCGAACTACGCAAGGTCGACCCCGCCATGGCGAGCAGGTGGCACCCGAACGACAGGCGGAAGATCCAGCGATCGCTTGAAATATATCTTCGCAGCGGGAAGCCCGCCTCGGAGTTCTACGCTGAACAGCAAGAACGCAAAGCCACCTTGACCAGTAATCTGGAGCATAGCCCCTGGGAAAACTTGATGTTTTGGGTATATTCAGACCGTGAGGTTCTCAAGACCAGGCTGGATGGGCGTGTCGACAAGATGCTCGACGCCGGCTTGTTAGATGAAGTACGCCAGTGCCACGAATTCAGACGTGGCAGAGAGGCAGCGGGCTTCAAGGTTGATATGACCCGTGGGATATGGCAGTCGATTGGCTATCGGCAGTTTGAACCATATCTGGATGCTGCGTGCAGGGGCGAAGACGCCTCAAAGTTGGAAGAGCTGAAGGCGACGGCACTTGAGGACATGAAAGTAGCCACGCGCCGATATGCAAACTACCAGAACCGCTGGACTCGTCTCAAGCAGTTTCCGCTCCTCGTAGAACAGGGACCGGAAGCGGTGGACAGTCTCTACCTCCTTGATAGTACTGACGTCTCTCGTTACAAGGACAATGTCGTAGAACCGGCCGCTGCCATAACGGCGCAGTTCCTCAAAGGTGAGCAGAGGCCGCACCCAGTAGATATGTCGGAACTAGCGCGTGAGGTGCTCTCTATTGCTAGGGAGCCTCCTCCCAAGGCTGTACCTTGTGAGCGAACATGCGAGATCTGTGGTACAGTGGCAACCACAGAGGAGATGTGGCGAAGACATGTCAGAGGAGCAAGCCACAAACGGGCGATGAAGAAAAAAAAGAGGCTGGCTTTGGTGCCTGTGGATCAACCTGAGGATGGAAGCGAAGATCCTGCGAGCGAACGAAGCTCGAGTCCCGAGCTAGGATCAATATTCTCTTAAATGAACAAAACTCATAAAACAACCGAGAAGGCATTCGCAATTGATTGAAAATCACCTGATGACAAGTGTCTTGCTCGGTCAATAGCGAAGGTAGTTGTGAGCCTTTGGTTTCCAGTGTGGTCATAAGACCCGTGAATTCTACGTGCCCTTCGGCTTCCCCTAACACAACGACTTGAGCCATTGTTGGAGCTGTATTGGGGACATTGATACTTCTGTGACGCGTCACTGCCTCTCTCACCTATCTCTACGCCTCCTTTTCTGGCCATCCTAGTTGACAAGTACACTCAAGTCACGATTGTCAATGATTTGGTTGGACGAACAGCGGGGAAATCTAATCTCCGCCTTCTCATGAGCATTCGGATACTTTTAGTCCCGGGTGCTTTTGAGTCTCAAAATGGTTGTCATCGCCCCCTCTTGCCATCTGGCCTCATCGCATGCAATCTAGCCAGGCTGCCTCGTCTGGAACCTCCCTCCAATTAAAGCTGCGAGGATCCGAGACGGTTGCAATTGCCGTAGTCAGGGGAATTGTGGCTGTGCACTCCAGCTTCGAGATCTTCATTGGCTTATAGTCGTTGCCATGTGATAGCTGGCGCCCCCTTTCTCACCCCAGAATAAGTACAGAAAATACCGAAGCTACGTTAATCGGCCAGGCACTCGCACAACGTAAAAGCGATCGGATTTGGATGGCCGCTAACCCGCGCACTCGTATTGCTCATGCAGGTTTCGCATATCTCGTTTAGTCGTACGTGTAGTCTTCGGTTTCGGATCAGCTGGATGGCTGACCGGCCCCCTCCGACTTTCACGGTCCGCATGGAGAACTGGGAGAAGGTTGAAGAATCCGAGAGATGGTTTTTGCATTATTTCTCGGGGATTCGGCTCTCCTATATGTTGGGGGTTCGGAAAATTATAAAATACCGAAGAAGCGCGTTGAGTAGCCACCTCCCATGCATCTGTTATGCGCATTGAGTTTCGCAGAGCATTGACCTCGGACGATCAACCGTTTGTGCCACAACGGCTGGTGCTTCAACGGTAATTTGCGCGGCCCCAGGGGAGAAAAAGCCTCAGCTGTGAGCTTGCAATGAAACTTCTACATGATTCACATGATGCGCTGTCTCGTTGCAGTCACAATGATCATGCGCGCAATATTCCGGGAGAGTCCGGGTCAAGATACCATGTTTTCATGATGGATAGGAATTTACCACAAGCAGCGCTACTGGGCGGCGCTATGCCTGTAAATTAGCACTGATCGCCCACCTGCAGCCGCTAAAATACGTGTATCCTTCTCCCCGGGGCTGTTCCTAGCGGACACCTCGCCTCTTGCGTCCTTGCATAGACGGTTCCCGCTTCGGGCGACTGTCGCGCAACACAGCGTGCAGGGCGCGCGCATGTGAGTCATCATTGCCTGGCCTGCGAAAGGGACGAATTGGGGCGTTTGACTGGTGGTATACTAAGACAGAAATGTAGGCCTGGCAGTAGGCTTATACTGTTTATGGCAGGTAGGCTTCTGGATCAGGTCTTGGATCTCACCGTGTGGCTTGCTCACCATGCGGCTTGCTCACCATGCAGCTTGCCGGTAGTTCGGTGCTGAAGGCTGTTATCATAAGTATTGAATGATCCACAGAAGAAACCTGCGTTTGTCAGCTTACAACAAGCCCTAGGGGGGATAGTAGTGGGTGAAAACCCAGGTCGGGATGGTTGTCTCGTGTTGTCTCGAGCAGACAATGTTATATTGAAGATGGAGAGACCGAAAGCGAGCAAGGAACTCGCAAACAAGTGTCGATAACATCGTCATATCGAGCCATCTTCGTCCATCCAACCTTGTTGCCTGGCATCACAGGTTGCTGCAGCTTGACCTGTGTGCAGCACACTAGTCCTAGGGCAATACCTTGTTCAGTATCGGCCGTCTGCAACTGAAATGTGGCTAGAAAAAAAGCAGGCTCGCTGACGTAGGTGGTCTGCCTACCAACTTAAAATTGCGACTGAGCATGCGGAGTTTCGAGTGGATTTTAGTTTCCAGTGACCTGAGCTAAGTAGTATATGGCAAAATCTGGAGGGACATGTTAATGGTGCGCCATCCACGGATGCCTATGAGGTAGCAGTCTCGCACGACGCTGCGGCGGGATTGATGGGAGCCCGGATCGAGGTTGCAGGCGGTACTCCGAAGCGGGCGGAGTTATCCCTCATGTCCATGGACTTTGGCGGAGGTGGGCAGGGAGCAAGGATGGATGGATCCCCATGGATGTGACCGAGATTGATTGCCTGCGCGATTGTCTCGTCGGCCACTTTCAGTCGGAGGATAATTACCAGCGGACATCGATCCATTGCGCCTCGGTGGTAGGCAATGTCGCAGGTACGTATGATTCTCTAATGTATATTTGCATTGGCGCATATGTTGGTGACATTGAGCCCATGCCAGCGCACCAGGGCGGCACCTTCCACCAGCTGTATAAGGTTCCTGCACACTGGTTCTAGCAGCTTCGTTCGGCGACATCTGGGGGAGCTGTGAACCCTGAGGTACCTACTTGTAGTGCTCCATACCCGCCAAACCCAAACTCAGCCCAGAGCCCGGATCTCACCTCATCCCCCCAGCTGTCTGTCTGCCCTCCACCTGATTCAGTATCTGCGCAGTCCCCCACCATCCAGCGCCATCCCATGCCCGTGGTGGCGTCTTCTCGCTCTGCACAACTCTGCACAAGTCGCCAACGGCCTCAGCTCCTCGCGCACAGATCAGATCAGAACACCCAACTTGGTGCTCTATGAGTACTGTACCCGTCATTCTCGCTCAGCTGGACCAATTCCACTAGGCTCCATCTTTTACGTCTTTTGACTCTTTTCCATCTCAGCCACCCAGCGGGGTCCCTCTTATTGTTCCTCACTCTATCGCGGCTCTTATTATTACCCAGCTGCGCCTGCGCTGTACCTGCCCAAGAACCCACCAGGTCTATTTTTCTCCCATGACGGCATTCGGCAGCTTTCAACCCATTCCCGCCCACCCCCCAACACGTACCTGGTAACTGCAGACCTGCTGCATTTCCAACCTCGCTGCGTCAAGCTCTCCCGCCGACTTTGTACTACTTCCTTTGCCCGGTTTCAAAACAACGTCCGCATCGCTGGCCAGCAGGACGGAGGAGAGTCCGGCAATTGACCTCTTCCACTTATTACTTCTTCCAGCTCTGGTGCGCCGCTCTGACCTGGTTCGCAAACACCTACAAACAACCAACGTCGCACAACTTTAAAGTCAATCCTAAGATTGCCACCCTGGCCGTGTCTCTACCGGATCACCCCTTGTGCTCAGCAGCTCGTCCCATGAGAGCTTCACATATCCTGCGCATGACACACTCGTGATTCGATTGTGTGTGCCGCCATGTCGAATAATGCAACACCCGTCATTTCACATAGGCAGCCTCGAGTTCTCGCCTGCGTCCTGTGCCAACATCGCAAGATCAAATGTGATCGCAATACCCCGTGTTCAAATTGTATAAAGGTGACTGCACATCCACTAATCCGTCTCGTCTAATCGCCCGTCGTCCCAACTCTCAGTCGAACCTCCCACTTACCAAGTTTCTCCAGGCCAATGCCACTTGTACTCCCAGCACACCAGCTCCGGCGCGCAAGCGACGCCGGCCAAACCAAGATCTCCAAGAGCGCCTAGCCCGGTGTGAAGAGCTTCTAAAGCAATATGCTGGCGGTTCTGTCCCTTCCCAGGCTGACCTCCAAGCAGCCGCACCCTCCGTAGCCTCTGTGACGACCCCTGCCTCAACCTTCAAAGCGGAAACGTCGGACTATTCGCCCACCTATGATGACTTCCCGGATCGCCGGCACCCGGGAAAAGTAATTCATCAAGATGGGGGTGTTCGTTTTATAGACAGCCAACTTTGGTCGACTTTCTATGACGAGGTGGGTTTTCTCCGCATAATGTCTCCTCTCCTAGTACCCTCTCTAACTTAGGGTTGTCATTTAGCTACAAGCTATGCGAGAAATTGTAGATGCCGACGATCCTGAGGGATCTAGTGTCCTAGGGACTGAGGGCCATACTCCTGAAAACAACGCCGACGTACTACTGTTGTCTGACAGCTCTTCCGCAAACCCCGAAGACTACCAGCCTGACCCTGTGCAGGCCTTCCGGCTATGGCAAATCTTCCTGGACCGCGTCAACCCACTTACAAAGATCGTGCACGTTCCCACCTTGCAGCCGTATGTAATTGAGGCAACCAGTGACTCGTCCGGTGTGCCTCTGAACTATCAGGCTCTACTCTTATCCGTTTACCTGTTGGCCAGCATAGCCTTGCAGGACTCCGAATGCATGCAACTAATTGGAATTTCTCGAGACCAAGCTGTCCAGAGATTTACAGCTGGCACTAAACAGGCGTTGATTAAGCTGGACTTTCTTCGCAACTCTGATATGGCCTCGATTCAAGCCTTGGTCCTGTTTCTTGTAAGCGAATTGACATGTGCATTAGGTATGTGGAGTAACATGACTGACTGGAGCAGTATTCACTTCAAGGTCGCTATGATAGGCACGCTGCCTGGGTCTTGAGTGGCACAATCGTGCGTGTTGCTCAGAAAATGGGCTATCACCGCGACGGCGAGTTGCTTGGTCTTACACCGTTTGAGACCGAGATGCGAAGAAGAATATGGTGGCAAATCCTAATGCAGGACACAAAACTTGCGATTGTGTCGGGTGTGATTCATAATTCTATTCAGGATAGTTACGACACGAAACCTCCCCGGAATCTGAACGATGCCGATCTATTCCCCGGTTCTACGGAACCTGTACAACCTCGCGAGGGCCCGACGGAGATGGCATTTATTCTCATCACCAGCCGCCTCACCAAATTTATGCTTTCAGAGAGCTCGAGAATGGGATTCGAAAGTGCTATCATGGGACACGATCCAAATAATGCAGATGAGCCCCAAGATCCCAGTATCAAGGCGAAATATAAGGCTATTATTCAAGAGCTCGATAGGGATTTGCTGGATATTGAGCAACGATATTGCGACCCCTCTGCTGGAAACGTTCACAGCGCTGCTTTGACTATTAGGGCCATGCTCATTCGAAAGTTAGATGAGATGCTTGTTCCTATGCAAGAGCAGCCGGAATGGGGAACCGAGATTTTCGAGCCCAAAGACAACTTGGTCAAGCTTGTACTCATGAACAACGAACAGAGCGCCGACGCTTACGATCGGATGGCACCCTTGGGATTCCTCTGGTTCGTTAAGCTACATTTCCAGCTCGAGGTCTTCGGCGTCTTGACTGGCCAACTTGCCAGACGGCCAACAGGGTCATTGTCGGATCGAGGCTGGAGAATCGTGGAGAAGGTCCACCGCTGGCAGCCTGAACTGTTTGATGTGTCGGTCAAGGCCTATGCTTCTCAGGCGCAGTTCACTCTCAAAGCCTGGAAGGCCCGCGAAGCAGCGTATAATGCCCTCGGACAAGCCATCGAAATACCGTCCTTTATTTCACGTCTCCGGGAACTCGTTCCGACATCAGATTCCAGAGGGTCAACGCAATCCTGCATGACATCTCCCCAAATGCCCCCACCACAACAGACTATCAACGATCTTGATCAGTTCCTTGGCGGTTACTTGGATGTCTCTTCGTTGAGCTGGGATATGTGGGGTGACATGACGAACACTAACACCAATAATAACAATCACCAAGCACAAGGTGCATTTTTCAACGGCTTTCCTTTGGGCCCGGAGATGGGCGGCAAAAGTGCCAACCCCATGCAGTAGGTACAGAACCAGGCCTGGCGTTTTGGCGCTCTTCGTTTCAAGGAGCGGGTATTTCGGGATCCAGACTCGGCATTTATCGCTGGACGACATCGACTTGGGGTTTATTGATATATAATAGGTCATGTATGGGTGACGGGATTTATTTGCACATATTTTCACGGACAATTAACGGGAATAGAACGGAGCATATGAGGAAACACGAGGCATCGACGACAGAGACGAAAGGTGTTGGTTTAGTGTATGATATCTGGGATGGTGCCAAAATCCCCTGGCATAAGTTGCGTTAAGCTTGTGTACTAGTTCGGAATCCAATCCCCTCTTAGATCAACCGTCACCAAATAATTGTAAATAAAATAGGTTGACAATATTCGGAGGTCTTGTCGCGTGTGCTGTAGAGGGATGGCTGAAATGTGGAGTGGTATGGGTTGATATTTTAAGTGGACACCATCGTTGCGAGCAACCTGTGTTTCGAATAAACTGAAAAAAAACCTTCTTTTTTACGCCGGTGACCCCAGGATTTGATCTTATGATGGCCAGGGAATGATGCCACGCTGGGCAAGACTGATGCACAAGTCACTCTTGGAATGGAAGATGGTCTTTTATCTACTTGGGGAGACCATCCATGGCACTGCTACGAAAGGCTTGATTTGAGGGAAGAAATGTAGATCTCAAAAATGAAACGACACCTAGACGAAGAAAACCAGATGTCGAGATTAACGACGGATCAATTGCTCTCCAAACACCCATGGGTCGCAAAGACCTTGCCTTGATTGCTACCAGTGAGGAGGTAGGCAGCATGCGGCGGGAGTTCGTGACTATCTGAAGAGCAAGAAGAAAGCAGAAAAGGGAACGAGAAATTCTGTCAACCAAATTGTAGGTGGAGAGGTGCCAACCTTCTTAGTCAGCATCCATTGAGTTCCTCCACACGTGATCGAAGAAAGAACTACGGGAATGAGCGTCACGTGTGCCGATTAGCGATGAGGAATTCGCCCTCGCTGATTGGCGGGCTGAGCCGAGGAGCCGACCCAGCACCTATTCCGAGAAAGGGCGAAACATCATCGTCCAGCTCTCTCTGGATTGTGGAACCCCATCCGGCTTTACGGTGTCTCTGCGGAATCTCGAAGTGAAGAACATCGACGGCGACAAGCACAACGCAATCTCTCCAAACCTTAGAGAGGAAGTAGGACCCGTCATCTCCGTTTGATCACCCCCGCCAGTCCAACATCACAATGATCGCCCAACGGGTCGGCCTCGCGGCCATGCGAGGTATGTAACGACGGGTTGCTTTTGCGCCTCGGCTTCGCGCGAATGCCCTCAATTCGCAGCAACAACAAGGCTAATTGCTCTCTTCAATAGGCGTCGCTAAGCCCAACGGCCTCTTCGTCGCTCAGAACCTCCCCAAGCTGGCTCTCGCTGCCCGCCTGCCCGCCCAGCAGTTCCGGTACGTCGTCGGCAATTCCCACGGGCTCACATCAAGGCTGAACTCCAACAATCTCCTCCCCATATCATACTGACGAGACTCTTCACCCCCAGTGCCGCCGCCACTACCTCCAAGGTGAACCTGACCCCCGCGGAGGGTCAGGACATCCTCGCCAAGCAGCGCCTCGCCCGCCCCATCTCCCCGCACCTGGGCATCTACAAGCTCAGCCAGGTCTGGTTCTCCTCCTCCGCCTGGACCCGCATCACCGGCTGCGTCCTCTCGGGCACCGCCTACGCCTACTTCGCCACGTACCTCGTCGCGCCCCTCGTCGGCTTCCACGTCGAGAGCGCCAGCCTCGCCGCGGGGCTCGCCTCGCTCCCCTTCCTCGTCAAGGGCCTCCTCAAGTTCACCTTACTCGCCTTCCCCTTCTCCTACCACTTCGTCAACGGCGTCAGGCATCTCGTGTTCGACATTGGCAAGGGGTACACGAAGCCCCAGATCAGGAGGGCCGAGCAGTTCGCCTGGTCGGCTAGTATCCTCGCTGGTCTCTTCCTTGCTTTTGGCCTGTAAAAAGATATGTGTTGGTGTAACAACAGACGTGAAGGAGGGGTCGGGCGGTAGTATATGGGAATTAAAGGAGTCCGCAGGGTTTCTGGAATTAAAGAGAAGAGTAGGAGGAAGGGATTGGCCATACATAATGGTTATATGTCGTAGCAAGATTTTATGTTAGCCTCTTCTAAAAACAATTCTAAAAACAACAATGTAGAATGATCAGGGGCGCGAGTTTTAAGGAGATTATTCTTTTTATTTGTCTATCTCAAGACCCGAGGATGGTCTCGCTTAGTTCTCAGTTTCCTAGAAAGATTATTTGTTCCCAAATCCCAAACGCCGTTCGCCCAAACTAAGAAGCAGCTTGTTTTTTTCCGTGAAGCTTGCCCGTTCAATGCGTCGTATCAACTAACCCAGGTTTCGAGCATCAAGGACGGTGGTGATCAGCTTCCGGTTCCTGGAAGCCGCGATCCGCTCGCCCACGATTGGTCCGATCCATTCTTTCAGCTCTGTGGTCTCTGACTCTGATGCCTCCACGTCCATGGGGACAATCCCCGGGTCTTCGTGCTCGGCCAGCGAAGCTACGGCTTGGATCAAGCCCTGGACTAGCATGGTGAAGTCGATTGACCCCTCCAACTTGGTCTTGAGCGGCTGCAGGATGTTCTCGTCGAACGGCTTGAGGTTCCTCAACACGAGGACGCGGATGGCCTCGGGGCCTCCCGCCTCGCGCAGGCCCTGGACAGCACCGAAGAGAACGGCGGGGGGCTTCGTCGGGTCCAGGAAGTACTTGAGGCAGGTCCTCGTGAGCTTAGGGCGTAACAGCGTATTGGAGGATGAGTACTTGTGGGCGATGCGGCCGACCAGGGAGGCGGCGAGCTGTCGCAGCTCGTACTGCTCCTTGAGGCCGTCCTCGCCATTGTCGGTGCCGAGCTTCCTCGCCATGAGGCATGTGAGGACGGGGGCCGATAGAGGGCTGGCGTAGGGGTCCAGGAACAGAGTCTTGTTCTCGATCAGGGCGTTGGTGAGCTCCATCATCCGCTTCAGAGTGAAGGTGTCGTCGAGGTTGTGCGTGACTCGGTCCATGATGAAGTTTATAAAGTATGGGACGAGCTGGTGCAGGCCGGGGTCGTCTCTGACGGAGCCCAGTGCCGCCTGTCGAAGGCGCACCACCTCCTCATCTGGGTTCTCGTCGAGGATTGCGGCCTGAATCTTGTCAAAGTATAGGATCAGCTCCTTGCTCACGATGTGCTTTATCGAGGGCTTCATAGAGGGGTCGTCGCTTCCTGCAAGCGCGGAGAGTGCTGGGTTGGTGCCAGGGCCCTTGGGTAGAAGCTCCTGTGATCTCGATTCGGCCGAGGTCGGGTTCTGGGGGATGGATGGCTGGACGCCTTCAATCGCGAGCCAGTGAGCTGGACTCAAGCAGTTAGCAGAAGGCCCGTTGCACCGTAGTAAGTTGATCGGAGCCCACCTGTGAGACTCATATCTCGCGGCACCTTGGGCAAGGGCGCATTGATGAGCTTCTCGAAGTCCACCTCTTCGTCGTCCAGATAGAACAAAGGCTGGCCAGGTCCCATGCTGGCCTCGCCGAATCGCAGCGGGCGGGTCGAGTCGTACCCATAGAGAGGCTCGGCGTCGAGGGTTCTGAGGGCGAGGGAGACGTCATTGACCGTCATGGTTGTGCGACGAGCGGCGCGCATCAGGCGCAGGGCTTCGATAATGACTTGACCGATGCGGTATTCGACATCTTGAGTGAGGGTCTTGAGGGCCTCCTCGTTCAAGGAGCTGATGCCGACGGACTCGGCAACATCCTTGACGTTCTCCGTGTTCCAGAAAAGCTTTGGCTCCCCACTAGCCATGATGTTGGTCGTTTCTGCCGAGGTGTTGCTGTTGGAGGGGGATTGAGAATAGCGTGAAGTGATGGAAGAGCTTCACGCATCAAAAGGTACGTACTGTTCACCAGCCACACACGCGCCTAGCAAGCCCCATCCACCTCCAGCGTAAGCCACATGAGCTTTGTTCTCACTTACACCTTTGGATATCTACAAATCTAGATAACAGTTTCGATGCGAGTATAAGAATAAAGTATTTCAAATGAGCGTAGAGAAATAAAGCTGGTTAAATATACACACAACATAAGCCATAAAATCATATACCCATCCTCTTATCCACATATATCGTCGTTAATCCACATGTACCTATCGTCGATTCTCCTACTTCCGAGCCTTGTCCTTTGGCTTCGCACTTGATCTGTTCCTCCCAACCGCCTTTCTGTTCATTTCCGGGATCTTATATCCGCTGTCCCGTTCTCCGCGGTGCCTCGCCCAAAAGTCACTTGCCTCCTTCTTCAACACGGCCCTCCTTCCATCACGGGGCTTCTTCTCCTCTCCCGCCGCCTGACTCTCGCGCTGGCTTTCACGCTCTTCTAGCCTGCGCTGGACCATCTCTCCGGCCATGTTGAAGATTGGGTACACTGAGTACTTGGCCAGGAAATGCAGAGCATCCAGTACGATGTCTCTGGCCCACCTGAACACCCGACGAGTTCGCGTGCTGAAGGCTAGGGAGAATGTAGTCACGATGAGAGCGACACTCGACGGAAGTGCGATGGCCCCGATGTATCCTATCGTCGGAAGTTCGGCGTCCCACTCTTGGGTGTTCATACCAAAGAGACCCGTGAAGAACGTCAGGGGCAGGAAGATGACGGTGAAGACGGTGAAGATCATGACACTCCTGCTCTGGGCACTCGCCAGATCCGCATGGAGCCTGCTCAGCCGCACTTCGTCCACCTGCGCCTGCCGCTGCACCATCTGCAGCAGCTTGTCGTAGTCGTCCCGCGTGCTGCGCACTCGCTCGTCCATCTCCTCGGCGCGGCGCTTGTACTCGTCCACGCGGCGGATGCCCTCGGCCAGGTACGCGCGGCCGTTCATGCTGCGGTCGCGGAGCTGCGGGCTCGCGTACGCTGCGAGCATGGACGTGAGGACGGCGTGCTGGCGTTCGAAGAGGTTCAGGAGGACGAGGAGCTCATCCTGGAGAT